TACTGAGCGAAGACAGCTGTTGGTGTAGGTTTGTAGTCTGTTCGAAGTGTCCTTCGTCAGGCAGAGCAAAGTCCCTGATCCGAATAGAGTAGCACTGACTTCATACTGGAGTTGAAAATCCGGATATTATTTTCATTTTCATGCTGAGTTCTGTTGATCTCTACACAGACTTGACAGTAACGAAAGCTTACCTTGCTTTCCCAATCTTCGCTGCTCTCATCTCCTCATTAGTTCCGTCCACCTGCAGTTGCTTTCCAGGCAGGTAGGTAGGGAGGTAATGAAGGAGGTTGCTTCTTTCAGATTTCTCCCATTTATTTTGATTTTTGTCTATTGTTGTTGCTGTCACTGTTGCTGTTGGTCAGGAATCTTCATCAACTCTATTTTCTCTGTGTTCAACTGAAGTTCATAGCTCATACATAGTCTCGGCCTTTACGTAGTCCGTAGTAATTCAGACCTAATTTTGAAATGGAAACTACAAATTTATCATCAGAGCTTTTGTTTTAATGTACATCTTAATCTTTAAGTGGTATTAACATTAAAGGGGTCTTGGAAACTTCCGGTTAATCTCATGGATTTCCTCAGTGAAATGAACTGTTGAAATCATTAATAATGAAACGTGAGAAAATTCATTTAATTCATTTATGAGAAAAGTCATCAAGAAATTGTTTCGCTACGTCCTATGTAACCTCTGTAAACTGACAAATTACTTCTTGAATAAATGTAAATACCGTCCAATCAAAGGTGATGGAAATACTCGGCCAGCAATAACAAGCATCAGTCACCAACAGTGGAACACCCTATCATTTCAACTACAGGATGAAGATATCAAAGTTAGCCAAGATCGTAAAAGCAAGACAGATCTTCAATAATTGGAGAGTTTTATCATGAGCTGACATCGATTAGAGAACCATTGGAAAACTTGCAGGAAGTACTAGACAGCTGTTTCGTCTTATTTTGGGACAATGGGACCTGATGGTCTACGAGCTCGCCTTGTAACCAGAAGGTCCTGGGTTAAAGCCCCGGTGGTTGCGTACTGATGAAGAGTCCCAAACTAGGACGAAACAGCCGTCTATTACTTCCTGCAAGTCTTCCAGTGGTTCCCCAACTGATGTCAACTCATGATGAAACCCTCCAACAAATCAGTTAATATTAGATCTAAGCCTTTTTTGTGTTATTTATTTTTTTATTTTTATTTACAGCTTGATTCCATACCGTATTTTCAGTACAAGTGTGGAATTTTCAGCATGGATATCGGTAGCCCAAATTCAGGCCGACCATAGATATCGGGTGTGCGCCGGCAGGGGATCGAACCCCGGACCATGTGCATGGTCGGCGAGATTCCTAACCACTGTGCCACCGACGCACATCAAATAATTTCAACATCGGAATCAAAGGGGATTGTCAAATCATCCCTACGAGGATCCTGTCATACGGCAAAAACTGACAAATTCGCTTCATTCGAAACAGACAACAGAGGATTTACAAGCATTTTATGAGGAAGTATGACATCTTCTATGCGTCGGTGGCACAGCGGTTAGGACGCTCACCGACCATGCATATGGTCCGGGGTTCGGTCCTTGACTGACGCATGCCTTTAAATCGTTAAGCTAGAAATAAAGTTGGTAAAGAAGAAAGGTTAGGCATGAGGCTAGCAACCTCATCCTGTAAAAATGAAAACTGCTACAGAAACTTCAAGCCTCTACCTTGGAGCCCTATATTCTATTGAGAACTTTTTTTATTCCTTCACGTTCCCAGTGGAACATTGGGCTTCAAGCTGGAGGCTTGTAGTTTCTGTAGCACTGTTTAATTTTACAGGATGGCGTTGCTAGCCTTATGCCCCACCTTTCCTTTCTCCCAGCTTTATTTCTGGTTTAGCGAAGCAAAGGAGTGCGTCGGCCGGGGATCGAACCCCGGACCGTGTGCATGGTCGGCGAGCATCCTAATCGCTGTGCCACCGACGCACCACTGTTAACGTGAGGGAATAAATAAAATGACATTTTCTATGAAAACACACCGACATACCTACTGATGTGCGGAGTTTATCACTTCCCCCTTATCTTCCCGAATTTAAGTAGGTGGAACCGGATCTTATATCTTAATAGCCAATAGGTTTAACCTATAAACAATCTACTCACATCATAAGACAAGAAATTCCCATGTCATTTCACTTACTAAGCGGGAACATGACGAAAACTGTCAGATCATATTCTCTCTCCAAGACTATTAGAAAATGAAGAATAGGTGGGAAATCCCCAAACGTTGGGTTGGTATTCTGACCACTATGTGGATGCAGATCAGATTTATCAATGAATAGAGAAAATAAGTCATACGATCAATGGGTCAGATATCAGATCAGCGAAATGATCAGTATAAAAACAGGTCTTAGAAAAACTCCAAGGAGAGTCTACCTTGTCCAGGATCACCAGAATAAAGGCAAATATTTCAGTGTTGCAGAAATGCGGCAGAATAAAACCATATTCCATGAGTGACATTCTGGTAACTTGAAAGGATGTAAAACTAACTATTAACAGTTCATATCATTAAATATTTACAATAATATGTAATATGCACATGGTCTAGGGTTCGATCCTTGGCCGGCGTACTCCTAAACCTTAATAAGCCGTCAGTAAGCCGGGGTAAAGAGGGAAGGCTGGATAGGCATGAGGCTAGCAACCCCACCCCATTCCCCATCTAGCTTGAAGCCCTATGCCCTACTCAAAACTTAGAGAAAACATTTTAAGAAATAATATTAGATGGTTGGAGGCAATCGGATGGAAGCCCTGTCTATACCTAGGTCTCGTGCTAGTTGGCACTCTTCAGCAAGGGACTCATGTCTTGTCTGAGATTCGAATCCACATCATCCAGTACTGCAGTCAAAGACGTTATCACTGAGCTGTATGAGCTCGCGACTGACCTCCTGTAGGACTGTATTGGATATATTTGATTGGACACTAGTCAGTAACCAGTGTTATGTGTCTAGTCCTGTCTTTGGCGTAGACTAAATTCGATCAGTCATGTCTGCACCAAAGATAAAACTTGACACATTACACTAGCTATTGACTACTGCCCAGTGAAAAATATAAAGTAGTATATATATAACACACCAGAAAATCTTTCTCGAAATTACAATACAAGTCGTTACACAATTTTACAAGTATTAATATGAGAACAAAAGGACCTGAAATGCAGTAAAAATCTGTTATGGTAATTCTGAAGCAAACCTTATCCCAATTCCTGTTGTTAAATATTTGCATAGGATCAGCTGACTGAGTTTCCCGATACAAATTAGCACAAAAGTGCAGCACTTTAGGTCATCACACTCCATAAAGTATACCGAAGAAGAGAAAAGGTTCGGGGGGGGGTAGGCGGAAAGTTCAAAAGAACTATAATGAGTTGAAATGTACTCAAGGGACAATAAGTCTGTCTGTTTGTCTGTTTTCGATATAGAACTTTGCACATATGTGCGGCAGTTCAAGTTGCCACACTCTATGTAGCACACAAAGCATGAGGAGAAATGCATAATAAAGAAAGTAAACAGAGATGGGTGACAAACGTATATTAATAACGAAGAACAAAACAGTTTAATTGGAAATCATAAGTCACAAGGAGTGGATGCATCTGTGCCATCACTGAGAACGATTTTGAGCCATGTTACCAATTGTTTCCAACCATTGGTTTTTACCGTCCTGACCACCCCAACCAGTCGGGAAGTCTACATCTTCCTACGTGGCTTAGACTAACTGTTGTAGATTTCATTGACTGGTGCCATGTTTTCGTTTGACCTCGGGGACAATAAGTATATGGGAAATAATGGAGAAGTGATAGATCTCATAGATTACATGAAGTGGATGCATCTGCGCCATAGAAAACGGTTTTGAGGCATATCACCAGTAGCATCCAGCCACTGGTTCCTAGCACCCTAAGGACTCTAACCAGTCAGTCTACACCTCTTCACGTGGTTCGCTTAAACCGATTATAAAAGATTTCACAGGGTGATATGAATTTTCGGTTTTCCCATCCCTAACTGGCATTTCTAACATAACTCTATGTCAGCTAACAAATCTTATCGAGGAAGGTAATGGCTCGACGTGTCTTTTATGTGTCGTATCTATCATATTAATTGACTTAACCCCCCTATGGTGCACTGTACGCCTTACCTAATTATTAACCACTATTATACCACTTAACATGAGCGATAGAGCGCGAAAATATCCTCCGCTTGCAGGTGGTCATTACTCTAACCCCCATTGCAAGAGCGAAATGCTACGCAATACACCCGTCTTTTCATCGATAGCCGGATATTATTTCTACTCCAAAGATAACGTAAGTTTGTCAGTGCCACGCAAACCTTTTTGTAGTTGTGCTGGGATTTCGTCAGCAATCGGTTGACTAGGGTTTCTACAACTTCCCAAATAAGTGACATGGTCAGCACACACTACCATTTCACTTCGAATCTTTAAACTCGGCTTTGATGTGGTCCATTCCTGCAGCATTATCCTAGATTTTTTTGATTACAGCTTGATTCCACACAGTATTTTTGGTACAGGTATGAAATTTTGAGCATGTGATATCGGTAGCCCAAATTTTGCAGGCCAACCATAGATATCAGGTGTGCGTCGGCAGGGGATCGAACCCCGGACCATGTGCATGGTCAGCGATAGTCCTAACCACTGTGCCACCGACGCATTTATTTGACAGAAATGAATTGCACGCCAAATATTTGAAGATTTCTGCTCAAAATGTTCAGAAGATAGGCAGACAAACAGACCAATTCGAACATATCCATTACATTCTTAGAGGAGGTGAAAGGTAGTTCTGAGTAGCTCAATGATCACGTCTATAACAGCATTACTGGATGAAGTGGTTTCGAATCTCCATTTTAAAGTCGACGACACACCTTACTGATGAACGCCAATAACCAGAAAAACTAATTGCAGAGATTTTTATCGATTATCTCACATTAAAACACTAAAGGGTAGCGTAAAACTGTCATCACTTACCGTGATTCCAATCCATTTGTTGACAGATTGAATTTTGTACATCTAATAAACAAATTGAAATTATGATCTGACCGTTTATTATTGATGATAGTAATAATAATAATGGTAATAATCGAATAAGCAACATATAAATATTGTCAGTGATTTATACATTTGCAGCAACCACCTTCTTGACACATTTATGAACATCAACAGATAAATGATAATAGGAAAAATAATGTGATCTTCATTTTGCGTGACGACAAAGAAATAATCCACTGGAAAACAGATGAGCAGTACTCATCAATCAGTTATTATTATTCCCGTGGGTACACAGCAAGAGAGAGAGAGTAGATCAGCACATGTTTGATAGATTCCCTTCGATTTGATCATCTCATACGATTGTCTGTTGTATGTTATATTGTTTGTTCTGCTCAAGTGATCTCAAATTCTTAACTCCACATATCCACATACTCTTTATTTTCCTCAAATATACAAAATAATCCTTCTCAAAAACTCAAATGAGGGGAATTTGTTTTTTACAAAATATATGTGTAATAAACAAGTAATTCGATGTTCTTCGTTCGTTCGTTCGCTTTTTTGCTTTGTTTACGTTTATGTTTACTCAGTTGTGTGTGTTGTTTTTCCCCGCTGTATGTGTTGTCTCTTCTCACTTATTATTGAATCACAAAATAACTGATCGATAAGGGAATTAAATTTCTATTTTTGTTTGTATGTCATACACGTATATATATGCATTAAAAGATGATCGTGGTATCAGTGTTACGAATTTTCTGATTGACCAATCAGAGATGAGAAAGGCTATTGATTCGTAAAGGTCATTTTACGATTTGATTGTAAGTCACTCTCTGTCTCTCGCTCTAGAGATAGGTATACCCAGGCACATAAAATAAATGTCAATCGATGTGTATGTATGTATTTATGTGTGTATGTGTATGTATTGGGGTATATTATCCACTCATAGTTCGTGTTTGTCTGTATCATCTGAAAATTGAGTCAATAACAATACTGATGAGGCTTGTTTTCAAAAATGGAGCGAAAGAGGGAGGGAGTTTAAACGGAAATAACGAATAAGGCTAATCTACGAGTGTGTGTGTGCATGAATGTATGGAGTTTAGACGGCCTGGAAACCTATAATTTTCAATCAGATTCCATGATTTGATTAGCTTTAGAAAAAATGTGAAATGAGAATGTGGAGATAAAGAGACAGACATAGAGAGAGATGATGGGGAATTAGTGATAAGTGATCACACGTAGTCACTGAAATCACAGAGTTAAATTCTAATCTACTCACCATCTCCCTACTGGCTTATTAGTTGCCCTGGAGGACTGTTTTTTGTACTGTAGATTATCCATAATAATAATAATAGTAATGACCTGTTTTATTCAAAAAATGGCACTTATACTACAGTTTGCAATTCTCAGCATTTGTCACAATATTGCATCTAATTTACTGATGACATCAATAAAATTCACATTTACAGTAGGAAAAGTGTGAAAAATCTGCAGAGTATTAGATGAGAAAAATAACTGCCATGATAATAATATAATAATAATAATAAAATAATAATTCACTTTATTCCACAACAATAACAATTTACAGCATGGAATTTTCAGCGTTTCTTTTACATATTGCCCTAGTTGTTTGGTAGAGTGTTGCGAGGTCTCCTTTGCCTGCTGCTTGTTCTGCTTCATTGGCCATGGCTTCATAATACTTTCTTTTATCTTCTCTGGCAATGGTTTAGCTCTGTTTATAATTATATAAATATATAAAATGTTAAAATATTGATAGTTAATAGGAAAAATAAAAACCCCAACAAAATCACACCATTGCTAGGTCACAGTGAATAATAAATAAATAATATAACAAATAACATATGCATTAATATGCATCATTAAATTTTAAAGTTTAGTTAATGATTTAAAAGTTGTAAGAGTTCTTTTCTGATATTTGTCTCTTCACACAATACTCGTGCCAAATATGGTACGGTCGAATTTTTATATTTTGTAGTACGAGCATAAGTGTTTATGAAATTTCTTCTGGTCTTACCCGAAGAGATACAAGGAAACAAATGTGAATAAAGAGGATGTTCACTATCAGACAAAATAACTTTAGCTAACTGTTTACAAGAATTCATATGCCTATTGACAACAGTGTCGGTTAGTTGAGTCAAAGGGATAGCACTGACCCTACTTACAGCCCTCAATGTTCTTCGTAGTATTATATGGTCTTTTTTGAGTAGCCCAGGGAAGAATAATGGAGAACAATAAAGAATGATGGGCAAAACAAATGAATTAATAAATTGTATGAGAAGAGATTGGGTTATACCTGAGTGCCTCAACTTCTTTATGTAATAAGTCAGACGGAAAACTTTCTTAGAAACTATAAGAATATGAGACGACCAGCAAAGGTTTGAAGAGAAACTAATGCCAAGATAAGAAACACTTGACTTACTCTCTATCATGGTACAATGAATATTACAACAATCATGAGATTGGATCAATCAATGCATGTCTTTTTCACTTCTCAAGCTGAAATCAACAGTATTATATTTAGTTGGATATAGTTTAAGACCATTTGAGCCAGACCAATCCTTAACTTCAGCTAAGAAGCCATTCATATGGGAACAATCCGATGTGGAAACTACAGGGACAGAAACGGTCAGATCATCAGCATGCTTAATGAAGTTAACTTTGGGTGAGTTCGGAAGGTCATGCAAAAAGAAAGAGAAAAGAAATGGAGAAAGTACTGAACCTTGAGGCACACTACTTTCAGTTAGCTGAGAAGTGGAGCGCTTTCCAGCCAAAATAGTATGCTGTTTCCTATCCTTAAAATAAGGAGACAGCCATCTAGTTGCCCAGGTCTCAGTCTGTGCTGAAATCATCTTTCCTCATAAAAGTGTCCTAGGAACAGAGTCGAAAGCTGCAGTATAGTCTAAAAAAGCTGTTCGAACGAACTTAGCACCCTAGTAATAACAACAATAGGTAAGTTTCTTTCATACAATATCTTCGATACAATGATTTGCATAGGAACACAATAATAACTCAATTCAATGAAGTACAATCAACGATGAAATTCACGTGCAAAAGAGGAATCCCGAAATAGCATTAATTGCCTTCCTAAATGTCCCCCTTACAAGAAAACTAGATGGTCGTATAAAGAGAAATTTTCATAGGAAAAGCACATGGACAAAACAATATACACATATTCACAGCTTCATTCCTCTCCAGTACAAAAGAAATTTAGTAAAGACCTTTAGCCACAGAGTTACAGCTATATGCTCAAAGAAGTAATTGAAGATGAATTAAGCATAGTTTATGATACCTTGATTGAAAATATCTAGCTATCCCGCCAAATTCATAAAGAAACACATGAGAAAGAAAGCGGAAAACGACTACTCACAATCCAGAAACAAGACGCCTTTATTATATACGACTGCAATTCAAGGGCGATATACATAGCGAAATAATTACGAAGAAATTTAGAAAATCAATTCAAAGAACTTTTATTGCTAGCAGACTACAGGTCTTATTCTCTACACGACCAATGGTGATTCCTCGACTGAAAGATGAAGTACCTAGATTAGTTAGGCACTTCTAATTGTATCTGCCAGTTCAAGTGCGCTTGTGGTGGAGCGAGTTATGTCGGCCGTTGCTCTAGGAACTTGATTTTTCGTGCTTGCTCAGGAACATCTCCCAGTACGGCTAAGTAAAGACATGGTGAAAACCATCAACAGCTCGATATTAGACCACCTGGTCCAAACCGGATAAAAAGTCAGCATTGAAGAATCATTCTCTATAATCTACCAAGTGCCTAATAAACTGACAAAATCATCGAAGCACTGCATGCTCCAAACAGCAAAGGCTGTTGCGATTCGCCTCAAACAACCAGTGCTCTGTGTGCAAAAGAAGCAAGTTCAGCTAGCCACTACTACTGTCCTGGCCGGCCTTCAGTAGAGACTATAAATTCATGAATTTGTATTATTGTCTTTCCTAATTTTTCTGACATTCAGTTTATTGTTATGTTGATGCTACTGAACTGTAATCCACTGATTTTAATATTATTGATTCGATGTTATTTAAACAACGTTAATGTTGTTAATAACACTAATTCACTCACAATTATATGTATATAACTGTAGAACCTGATGAAGTCCAGATTATCAGAGAGAATATTCTTTGTTTGCTATCCATTCTTTTGAAAATTATTACAGAGTTTAAATGGTGCTACTACGGCGTCCCCCAAATATTCATCAACCTTATTCAACAGCTGTACGACAACAGCACATGTCAAGTGATCCACAACGGAAAACTCAGCGAAGCGTTTGGAGTAAACACAGGAGTCAGACAAGGGTGCTTATTATCACCAATGATATTCCTAATTGTGGTGTACTGGATTATGCGTCAGACAGTGGGAAATGGGGAGACAGGGATATCCTGGACCGACGTGAAGAACCCAGAAGACCTGGATTTCGCGTGTGGATGATTTATGTTTGATGTCACACAGTATCGAAGACTTACAAGCGAAAACCGACAAACTGGTTGAAGAAGCAGCAAAGGCAGGACTCCAGGTGAACATAGACAAGACGGAGGTTATGAAAATAAACAACCAACAACAACAACAGCAGCAGCAACATCCAGCGCCAATCACCATCAACGGGAGGGATTTGAAAGAGGTTACTTCTTTCACTTATCTAGGGAGCATTGTCTCAACTACAGGAGGAACAGACGGACGAGGATGTCAAATCGAGAATCGGGAAGGCGAGAAACACATTCATCCACATGAAACCAATCTGGAAATCTTCGTCACTCAGCCTGCATCAACAACAAAATTCGGATTTTCAATACAAACGTCAAGTCAGTCAGTTCTTGTATACCGATCAGAAACTTGGCGGGTCACAAAGAATATTTCCAACAGCCTGTTGCAGACCTTTATCAACAACTGTCTTTGTTCTATACTGAAGATCAGATGGCCGAAAAGAATCACCAACAAGAAACTATGGGAACAAACAAAACAAGAAACAATTGCCCAACAAATATGCAGGAGAAAGTGGAGATGGATTGGACACTCGCTGAGGAGGCCGTTGTGTGACATCTCGCGTCAGGCCATCGTTCGAGTGGAACCCG